ATATTAAAATAGATTATTAAATATATATATATATATCATAAATAAATTAGATAGATTTTAAAATAACAAAATAACTGATCCAATAAATCCTATTGATAATCAATAGTAGTTAAAACATATCAATTATTTTGTACTATTTTTTTATATTTATAAAACTATTGTTAAGCTAATATTAAAAGGGATATATAAATACTGTATATCATTTTGATAATAATGATAACAATAATAAAAACATATATCATATCAATAAGCTTGTTTTCATTATTATTATTATTATAAGTAGTATATTATATAAATATATATTAAACAAAATGTTTTTGGTTAAATAATTTTAATCAAACATTTTTTTAATATAAATAATAATATATAGATATTTGTTAAACAAGTTATGTTAAACTTGAATAACTTTTTTTAACCAAGCATGTTTATAGATATAATACTGTATATATTGTATAGATATATATAATAATAATTGAAAATTGAAATAATATTGATCTATACAGAAAAATAACATACATACATATATTTATATACTAGCAAACAAAAAAAATACAATGTATTTTACAATATACACTATAAATACAATATACTAAACTTTTAAAACACCATTATATCAATATACAGTATAATATAGTGCATTGTAAACTATACAGGTATGTACAGTATAACAGTTATAATATACACCTTATATTACATAGTATTTTATATACAATAAGTTTATATCTATTATATATGTTGATAAATGTGTGTTCATTGGTGTACTACTACTACTACTACTACTACTACTACTAAATTTATAAAAATTATACTGTATTTATATGATACAAATTTTATTTTTTTTTAAATATATATAACAAAATAGTGATTTTTATTTTATAAACACAAAAATTATAATATAAAAGAGTTAGTGTTAATGTTTGAATATTTACCGGAGTGTATGTATAATACTGTATGTACAGTATATACAGTGTGTGTGTTTGCATAATAAGTAAATTCAATAGCAATAGACAGTATACATAATAATAGTACAGTACATCTAGGGATAAGGATATAGCTATTCATTGAAAATATCAACTCTAGATTATATGCTAATTGAATGCAATATATATAATATACTTGTGATATAGAGTGAGTGATAGAGTGAGTGAGTGATAGAGAGAGAGAGAGAGAGAGAGAGAGAGAGAGAGAGAGAGAGACCATGTAATAGGACAGAGATAGTAATAGTAGTGGAAATGTATTAATAGTAGTGTTTAAATGAGTGATTTAAATGGAGTAAAATTAAATGTTGACATAAGTTTTGATAATAATGGTAAATATATATACTGTAGTATACAGTATTTTTGTACGTTTTTTTTCGTTGCCTTCAATTTATACCTTATACACCAATACCATTGAATTATTATATATATATATAGTGTATAATATATAATATACTGTATATAATAATAAAACTAGATTCCAAGCCAACGGCTTGAATAGTCGTATCAATTGAATTAAATGTTAATATATATAGTATTAACAACAATAGTACTCTCTCTCTCTCTCTCTCTCTCTCTCTCTCTCTCTCTCTCTCTCTCTCTCTCTCTCTCTCTCTCTCTCTCTCTCTCTCTCTCTCTCTCTCTTTCACTCTTTCACTCACTCTTACAGTTAATGTAATTCAATGGATAAAAACAAATCGACAATCAATATGACAAATGCATTGCTAGATTGTATGACTTGATTATGACTGTACATAATGTACTGCATGTGTGTGTGTGTGTGTGTATATGCGTCCACTGTTTTGACAGTTATAGTCACTTAAATTACTATAGTTTTTGGGTCATTGGTTTGTCATTTATATATATATATATATTCATATACTATTCATACACATAAACACTAATAGCATTGAGAGAGAGAGAGAGAGAGAGAGAGAGAGAGAGAGAGAGAGAGAGAGAGAGAGAGAGAGAGAGAGAGAGAGAGAGAGAGAGAGAGAGAGAGAGAAGAGAGAGAGAGAGAGAGAGAGAAACTTTGGTAATAAAGATATAATTTATATATCAATATATATAAATAAATGAGAAGCCATATTAAATAGTATACACGCTTTCAATATATAACTAATCAAAACTAATAGTGAATATGTATGTATGTATTATTACTGTATTATTAAATACCAGTATTTTACTATTAGTAGTAGTATATAGTACTGTATATATAAATTAATATACATTTTTGAGAGTAATAAATGTTAGAATAATATATGTAGACAATGAAAAAAATTATGCTTAAACTTTTTTTTTTTTTATTTTATTTGAGAAATCAAATTATTTTATTTCATACAACAAAAAATTCCACAATGAAAAAAAAATTTCTACTATTACTCAATTATTTGATTGATACATACTATTATATATATATATCGTATATAAAGTATATTAAACTTTTTTTTATATTATATATATTTTTTTATACATTTATGTAGTGAATATAATGTATGAACAGTACTGTATATAACAATAGT